GCGCTGAATATTCTTCATCCATTGCAATTTTCCATTTTGGATCTTCAAGTGCATCTTCTACTCTTGTTGGTTCTCCTGCAATGCACAACATACCATATGGAACGGTACCTTTTTGCGACCTTGTCATGACACGTGAAGTTGTGACTAGTTGGGGTTGACTTTGACGTGCGCGTGACGGTCGTGCTACAGGAGATGGTGCAGATGACTTCTGCACAGAAGATCCTGATGAATCATCATATTTCCTTTCCACAACAGATCCTGAGCCAGACTGTGTGGCCTGATGTGTGTCTGGTCCGCTAGAGCAGGCAGCCGCAGAAGATCCGCTGCTGGTCGCTGATGCAGACGCATGTGGCGGAGATCCCGATGCAGACCCCACCGAATCTGCTGTCGCTGTCGTCTGCCCGTGCGTCGGACGCGGTGCGGGGCGCAGCTCGTCCGCATGCAGTGACGTGGCGCCCGCGGATTGGCGCGGCAGGAGAAATCCACCGGGCGCGCAGTTCGACGCGTATCTGTGCCCCAGATCCGAGGCGATCAGGCGAACAGGAGTTCCAGGAGACTCCAGATTCACCTCGTGCTTCGTGCCGGCTTTGTTTTCTTCTGTTGCATGAAATATTGGCTCATTTTCAGCAAAATTCTGATCATTTTCTTCACCATTTTCTGCATTGTTTTCTGCTGCATGACCTGCATGACCCTGCACACATGGAGGCACAGTCCTACCGATAGGATCATCATCAGTTAGGTTAGTACAATCGTCGCCCCCATGATCAGAGTTTTGGAGATGTGGTGGAAGAAGAAGAATTTCTTGTTTGAGGCGTGCTCCGGCATTAGGATGAAGTGATGCAAAGGGAAAAACTGACTCATCAAAAACTACATCACGAGAGATGTAGACTCGGCCAGTAGAGACATCTAGGCATTTGACTCCTTTGTGAATACGATTGTACCCGAGAAACACACACCTCTTTGAGCGAAAGGAAAGCCTGCGTGTATTATATGGGCGAAGGTTGGGCCAACAAGCACAACCAAATACATGTAGCGACTTATATTCAGGAGATGTGCCAAAAATACGTGTGATGGGACTTTCAAATTTTATGACCTTGCTAGGTAGCAAGTTGATGAGGTACGTGGCAGTCAAGAAGGCTTCATCCCAGAATTTTAGTGGCATGCATGAATTGGCTAGTAGAGCTAGTCCTACTTCAACAACATGGCGATGCTTCCCTTCAGCGGAGCCATTCTGTTGATGTTGCATGAGGACATGAAACATGATGTGAAACACCAAGTTCTTGAAAGAAGGATTTTAGTTTTCTGTATTCACCTCCCTAGTTGGTTTGCATGGCAACGATTTTAGTGTTTAATTTGCACTCAACAAGATTTTGGAAGTTCTTGAAGACTTGAAATACTTCAGAACGTTTCTTGAGGAGGTAGATCCATGTAAACTTGCTATAGTCGTTAATGAAACTAACATAATATGAGTGCCTACCAACGGAAATAGGAGCTGGTCCCCACACATCTGAAAACACAAGTTGCAATGGTGCAGTGGAAATACTAGTAAATATGGGGTATGGCAACTGATGAATTTTAGCTTGTTGACATGGATCACAAATAGACTCAATATTCAACTCATGAGAGTACGGAAGCTTATTCTTGCTAAGAACAAATTTAATGATAACTGACGAAGGATGACCTAGTCTACTATGCCACTTTGATGATGAAGGCTTGACTGCAACTAAAGCTTGTTTATTTGATGGTGTTGACGAAGATATGATCGGGTAGAGACCTCCCACACACTTGCCCCTAAGAAGGATTCTCCTCGTGTCCAAGTCCTTTACCAAAAAGAAATATGGATAGAACTCAATGAGAACACGATTATCAAGAGTAAATCTATGAACAGAAAGAAGGTTCTTTGATGTTGTGGGCACATATAAAACTCTGTTAAGATGCAAGTTTTTCATGGGGTTTTTGACAATTGAACTACCAACATGAGTGATTTTCATACCAGAGCCGCTTGCAGTATGGACTTGGTCATGTCCACGATACTTGTCTCTGATCGTCAGCTTGTCGAGCTCCCCTGTGATGTGATTTGTGGCGCCGGTGTCTGCATACCAGTTCGTATCAACTCCGTAGGAGTCGGTGACCATGTTGGCCCCCTTCTCCTTATCTTCATCTTCATCATCATACCTATGCCAACAATCACGAGCACCTTGGATGATGCTTGTAACAGATTTGGCACTCTGGATAGTCCCGTACTTGCTGCTGGCGTTGTTGCTGTGGGCGACCGCGGCCACCTCCGCCGCCCCCGTTTCCACCAGATGGAGCTGGGGAGGAGCGCCTGCCTCGGCCGTGCCCCTTGCTATTGCTGCATCCGTGGCCTCTACTGTAACCGCGTCCACGCCCCCTGTAGGCTAGGTTTGCTGAAGTTTTGGAACCTGCGTCAGGGCCATCGCCGAGCATCTCCACATGCTGATCAAAGGTTGCGATTTGAGCAAACAGACCATCTACCGAGATTTGATTCTTCACTGCTCCGATGGCTGCCACGACAGGATCGTAGTCTCTGTCAAGGCCGGCAAGCACATAGTCAACCATCTCTGGATCCGAGATGGGACGACCTGCCGCTGCGAGCTCATCCCCCAGATTTTTCATCCTGGAGATATAGGCACTGCTGGACATGGAGCCCTTCTTTGTGTTGGTGATGGCGATCCGTAGATTGGTGATGCATGGTTGGGATTGCGAGGCGAACAGAGTGGTGATGGCAGTCCAAAGCTCGAACTTCGTCTCCTTGCTTGCAACTTGGGCGAGAATCTCCATTGAAAGAGAGTTCAGGAGATGGCTGAAGACTTGCTGATCCTTCGATATGCACTGTGCGTACAGAGGATTTGGTGCTGCGGCGGTAGTTTTGTCCGCCTGCTGCTGCTGCACCGTCTTTGGTGGCGCTGTATCTGATCCATCCAGGAGGCCGGTGACCTGCGCTCCTCGCAGGCCCGGCATGACCTGTGCCTTCCACAAGATGAAGTTGGTCTTGGTGAGCTTCTCTGATGGGAGAGCACCAAGGTTGAGGGAGATGGTGGATGAGGATGACATGGTGACAATGATCGAGGATGGTGGCGAGGGTAAAGCAAGGAAGGAGGCTGCTGGCTAGATCGATGGGAAGAGGATGACTCTGTATACCATATTAGATGGGAAGCGTTCCTACTCTCCGTAGAGAGCCGCGTGGGGTTATATTGATCGAGGCAAGAAGAGCCCTTGCCGTGGCGTACAAGTTGTACCTGATCGCTAGGATACAGGTTGTTACTTGAGGATAGAGTTGAGATTACATCTCTATTTCTAACAGGACGTGGCTAGCTTGTACGTGCGACTCGTTAGAAGGTGCTCAGCGGGTTGCAGTGTAGAGGTCGAGACCTACGCCAACAATTGATATCTAGAGCCTTGGTGAGCTTTGGTCCTTCTCCTTTTGGTTGGGTTGCTGATGTGAGTACGGACTACAGTAGAACATAAAAGTGCACATCATAATCTCGATCACTCACAAATTAAGAGGTTTTGTGCACACGCGCAGCCCAGCTCAGCCCAGCCCAACAAAGAGATTAGGTTAGCAGCAAAGACGTGGGAATTCGTTACTAATAGCCTGTTAGTGGTCCTTGGCTTCACATGACTCAGAGTGGGCGTTGACCTGCGAAGTTCATGCCCTCTTCCTCCTACACTGTAAATCTGAATCTGTATATATGTATGTATATATGTATGTACTTGGCATTTGGTTGCAGATTTATTTACCACTAATTGGCAGCTAGAGAGACTGCGCTGTCAAGCAGCAGCTAGAGAGACTGCTGCTGCTAGGAAATATTTCGGGTCGCCGATGTGGAGTTGCATAACTGTTTTGGTTGGCTGTGAGGTTGTTTTATTTTGGTTTTCATCTGTTTTTTAGTACTGCCAAGATCTGAGAGCGCCTAGTGAAATTTGATCTTTATAAAAGCAGGGGCTGGAAGCCTATTCGCCAAAAACTACTGCCAATGCTTACATCTGCGTTGGATGTAAAAAGCTTACATCTGCTTGTTTGTTATGTTAGTACCTTCTACTCGATCTGGCCTAGACGTAATTCTTATGATGCTTGAACTGTACGTGCTATGTTCTGTTATTGTAATAATGATAGTCGAATCTGACCATGAAGTCGTTCCAAACATGGTGTTTTTCCCCCAAGTAACAAATTACGTACTCACTCCTTCCCAATATATAAGGCATTGCACAATTTTGACTATAATTTTCACTTATAGTATGTCTACAGAATTACTATAAAGATATAAGAAATAAAACTATTTTGGAAGGCAAATGCAATGATGCCATTTATGCATGCTAAATCCATAAAATTTTGTATAAATGAGTGGTCAAAGTTGTGCATTAAAGATTGTGCAAACTCAATCATGCCTTATATTTTTGGAAAGACGGAGTAATGAAGTACTCTTTGAACTGCAAAAATGTCTTATATTTAGATACAAAAGAAGTAATATACTACAGAAGTCACTATGCCAATTCATTGGCTACCTTTTTGTTTTCTTTGAGCATATTAACTGGCTACGTGAGTAACCGGGGATTTGGGTCTAGCTAGTAGCTTTGGCACCTAGGCTCATACATACATAATGAGTTTTCTCTTGTTTTTAGTTTATAATTACAAAGTGACCATAAATGGAACGCAAAGCTTGTACTACGCGAAGCGACCTAGAGCAGATGTTAGATGTGGAAACAACCGAGCCCAAGGCCCTACCATTATTACTCCTAGAGGAAATCACAGACAATTTCTCTGGCGATCGAGAGATTGGAAGAGGAGGGTTTGCAGTGGTTTATAAGGTATATACATTCCAATCTTAATCATGCTTGATTCAAAACCTCAAGCTGGCCATATTATGCTAACACATGTTCCGGGAGCAGGGAATCATTGGTGATAGGGCGGTTGCTGTGAAGAGGTTGTCCAACGCTTTTATGGATGAGAAGAGTTTCACCGAGAGGTTCAATGCCTGATGCGGGTAAAGCATAAAAATGTAGTTAGATTTCTAGGATATTGTGCTGACAGACAAGGAAGTATGGCAACATACAATGGTAAACTTGTCATGGCAGATATCCACCAAAGATTGCTTTGCTTCGAGTATATACCTAAAGTGGGTCTTGATAAGTATATCACTGGTATGACTATGCGGCCTCTAACATCATTGTCCATTTTCTCTATATACTAGAAATTATCTAATGTGTCATATAACATTTTGACATCAAGTATGTTGATAACATTTTTTCTCCTATCCCGTTTATAGATGCATATCGTGAGTGGAGAAACTGCTATAAAATTATCAAAGGTATTTGTGAGGGCATCAAGTTCCTTCATGACAATCATATCATTCACTTGGATCTGAAACCCGCCAATATACTACTCGACGATAGCATGGTACCGAAAAATTACTGATTTTGGCCTCTCTAGATGCTTTGATGAAAATCAAAGCCGGGATATTACCAAAACCATATTAGGAACAATGTAAGCTAGTAAACACCTCTTGTAAGTTTCTCTGTGAGTTGAACCCCACTCTCCTTGTCCACTAATCGGTCAAATATTTTCTATTTTTATATAGGGGATATTTGGCGCCGGAATTTCGTGAAGGGGGTGTAATCGCACCCAGTGCTGACTTGTATAGTCTTGGTGTTATTATAATAGAAATACTGACCGGGCAGAAAGGGTATCTAGGGACTGGGAATGTAAGAACAATCAACTTCCTTTATTGCTAAGAAGGACCGACCTTCAAATAATTTTCACCGTTTTAATATGCATATTATCACTATTTTTAGCATGGGATGTATAGCAGTGTTATTTGTGGAAGCACACCTAGTAGTGGAAGCATAGTTTTGGCTGCAAAAGAATAGAAACAACAAAATTCTTTTTAAAGAAGTTTTCTTCTTAATATGACGCATCATTTCTGAAAGTGCAATTTACATCGAGATAGACCTGGCTTGAATCTATTGGGACATGGTCTACTTTTTAGAAAATTTGTGTTCTTTGTTTGATGCTTGAACGTATGTGGTCGGTATATGGTATACATATTATTTCCTATATAGAAAGATGTTGTCAATCCATTTCATAGACCATAACCCACCATTGAAATTTTTCAGGTGCTTGAAAGTTGGAGTGATAGGTGGGAGAGATCACAACAAGACAGACTATCCAAACAAATACGAGTATGCTACGAGATAGCTTTAGAGTGCAGAGACTTCAATCCAAAGAAGAGACCTGCTAGCACGCAAGATATAATTGACAGGCTACACGGGTACCACTAGGATACTTGCAATAGAACCATTTGAGTTGACTGAGTATGGATTTTGGTGCTCCATTGAGGACTAGGCTAGGAATCCTGTTTAAGGCTTGTTTTGTTTGGATTTTACTTCTACTTTTGCAGCTTTTTCACTATGGAAAAATAAAAGCCAAAAAAGCTCCTAAATTGATGCTTTTTAGCTTCGGCTTTTCGCTTATACCAGCATATAACAATATTGATTCATAAGTCAAGCCGAAGCAAAAGGACCCTATTTAAGAGCTTTCGTGACCTTTTTGTCAAAGTGAAAAGGCTGCAAAAACAGAAACAAAAGCCCAAACAAATAGGGCCTTAGTCGCATATCCCTGCTATTATTAGTTTTGGACTGTTTTCAATGGAGCAACTTTAAAGTTTTGACCATCAAAATATATGGAAGTAATTAGCAACAAAAACATCAAACTATATTACTAGTTATGTTATGAGATATATTTTCATAATAATCAATTAATTTACATGTCTGAAACAACATGCCCGCTTCATTCAAAATATTGAAAAATTAAAGCAAATTGGGCATCTTCAACGTTAACCCAACAATCAACCAAAAAAAATAAAGTTGTAGGAGTTCCATATGTAGGAATGCTATATATTATGTCCTCCCTCCATTTCGAAATAATTGCCGTACCACCTTTGAAAATTACTTTGAAGGAAATATATTTTGGGTTGCCTAGGGCACATCTAGATGTGCCATAGTTATTGCACATCTAAATGACTCGATTAAACTAAAAAAAAGACAAAAGAAAACGGTCTGTCTAAGACACATCTAGTTATGTCACATCTAAACTGATTTCCATTCTGGTTGTGGTCAATTTTTTTTGTCCTAGTTTTTTTTATTGCTGCATTATATATTTGTTGAGCTTAGATGTGACATTCTTAATAAACATCTAGATGTGAATTAGACAAACTGAAATGAAAATGCCTGCACGAATCTTTGTGTAAAATCAGTGGCGCGTAACTTAGATGTTCAATAGTTAAAGCACATCTAGGTGTGTTTTAACGAAACTGGTATATTTTTACTTTTCTTGTTGTCCTCTTTGCTTTGCTTAGTATGTTACTCCACTATTTATTTTATTGTAAAAAATAAAAATAAAAGACTAATTCATGCGCATGCATCCGCTCTCAGACAGGGGAGGCTGCCTCTTGTACCTCAGGGATGGCGGCGTCCGAATCCAAGGGGAAGAGCAAAGACGTGTCTGCCTCCTCTGAACCTAGGCATGCCGTGTCCACGCCGCCGGTGGTCATGCCGCAGCCCGTTGGCCCCGCGCCCGCGTTGGTGCAGGCCGCCCCCGGATAGGCGTACAGTCTGGTTGAGACGAAGCCTCTCCTCGGCGCGCGCGGCGCGGCAATGGCGACGAGGGTGTCGTCGATGTATGACATGGTGGAGCGGATGCAGTACCTGTACGTGAGCGTGGTGAAGGCGCGCGACGTGGACATCACCGGCTCGATGGACGCGTACGTGGAGGTGAAGGTAGGCAACTTCAGGGGCACCACGCGGTATCTGGAGAAGAAGGCCAACCCAGTAGCTATAGTGATGAAGTTGGCCTTCTCCTTCGTCCACCTGAGTTCCAACGACGTGGAGGTCATCGTCAAGGCCAAGGCCAAGCCCACGCTCCGCGACGAAATAGTCGGCCGCGTCGTCTTCGACAGCAAGATCCACGCCAAGGACAAGTCGGTGGATGAGCGGACTGAAGGAGTCGGCACCCATGGCGTTCGAAAGCAAGATCCACCTGAGGATGAGCCTGGAGCCGGCGTACCACGTGCCAATGGAGTCAACGTACTATAGCGGCGACCTGCAGCCGGCGGCGGAGAAATTCCGAAAGAGCGCCATCGGCGTGCTGGAGGTGGGCATCCTTGGCGCACGTGACCTGGGCGATAACTGTTGGAATTTTGATCTCCGATCATAACTGACCCAGAGAAAAAGGGGACCCTTTTTACCCCACGTATGTGCCATGACCGGAGGCACCAAATCCAGCTGTTGGTTTCGGTCCCTGATCCCTTTAGCGCCACCTATATAATGAGCAGGATGTACCCCTTCAAAATAGAAAAATACACACATGTCAGGGTCATACAACTTGCTAACCACCGATCCTTAAAAGAAGGCGCTCAAGGTGATCAGAAGACCGACTACCACCGCTGGCCACCGCAAGGTCAGTGCCGGCGGCCAGTCCTACTGCGGCGCTCCTGCTGCTTGCTTTGAGGTCCTGTTCCTGCACTTCTTCTCCAACCATCTTCATGTTTCGAGGCAAGGTGTAGCCATAGGCTACATGAGGAGTGCATCAAGCAGGAACAAGGCTTCCGTCAGAACCTGTAAGAAATCACGAACCCTTTTCTATTAATCTGTATTAGGTGGTCTAATGCTAGGCTTAAGATCCTCTCACGTTTATCTCTAAAGTTTGTTTCCAACAACAACAAGTACCCCTACTGCGTGGCCAAGTACGACGTCAAGTGGGTGCGCACGCACACGTTGCTCCTCCGCACGGTGGGGCCAATGTGGAACGAGCCGTACACCTGGGAGGTGTTCGACCTCAACACCATCATCACCGTCGTCGTCTTCAACAACAACCACCTCTCCGGCCATGGCAACGGATCAACCAGCAAGGAGAAGGACCAGCCGATTGGCAAGGTGCCCATCCGGCTGGCGACACTAGAAAACCAGGTGTACACGCACTCCTACCCGCTCATGGCGCTGAGCCCGAGCGGACTGAAGAAGACCGGGGAGCTCCACCTCGCCGTCTGGTTCACCTGCACGGCGTGGGCAAACATGCTGGCGCAGTACGGGTGGCCATTGCTGCCCGAGATGCACTACACGAACCCTATCTCCGTGCTGAAGCTGGACTACCTACGGTCACAGGCGGTGCAAGTGGTGGCAAAAAGGCTCGGCAGGGTGGATCCGCCGCTGCGTAAAGAGGTGGTGGAGTACATGCTCGAGGTCGGCTCACACATGTTCAGCCTGCGCCGGACCAAGGTCAACTTCAACCGGATCTCCTCGCTTTTATCCGTCGCCAAGGGCATCTGCAAGTGGAAGAACCCACTGACGACGATTTTGGTGCACGTGGTGTTCCTGAAGCTGGTGTGCAACCCGGAGCTGATCCTGCCCATCATCTTCATGTGCTTGATCATGATCATGGCGTGGAACTACTTCCGGCGGCCATGGGAGCCGTCGCACATAGACACGGTGCTGTCACGCGTGGAGCTCGCGCAGCCCAACAAGCACATAGATCGGTTATGTGGTGGTACACCGATGTGGCCTACCCCGACGAGCTGGACGAAGAGTTCGACACGTTCCCGACATCCAAGCTGGATGACATCGTGAGGCTGAGATACGAGCGGCAGCGGAGCCTGGCTGGGATGGTGCAGATGGCGGCCGGCGACGTTGCTGCGCACGGGGAGCACGCACAGTCGCTGCTCCGCTGGCATGATCCGAGGTTGACGCCCGTTTTCATGGCGCTCTCGCTGGTGATGGCCGTCGTATTGTACCTGACTCCGGTACGGATGTTGACCATGGGGATGGGGCTCTACTTCCTCCGGCCGCCATGGTTCGGGGGCAGGACCAACCTGCTCTTCAACTTGTACAGACAACGTCTTCCCTCCATGGAAGACGAGATGCTATAAGGTTGATGCATGCAACATTATTTTTTCTTCCCTTAACTACTCCTGCTATAGTACTCCCCCCGCGTCACAAAATACTTGTTGAAGAAATGGATGTATAAGTATTTTCGAAGCGAAGGGAGTAGTACGTAGCATTTTATTTATGTATATTACTTTTCTCACTTCCATATTAAGCATTAATTACTGTCTGTTTAGATCTATCTTTCGTAAGTAAGAAATAGCAGGTAGGATCGCTGTCAATTTACTATATCTAAATAGCTAGTCTTTACTAACTATTTCTCCTGATATGCAAGTATGTCACATCATGCATGAAAAAAGCTCACTCCTACTACTGTTTGGTCTAATCCTAACTATCTATAGACTACCGTGGGAGAAGAAGGAACGGAGGTAGATCAAGGAACCGAACGCACTGGAGTTTTGCGACCAAAACCCGGCCCCTCGAACGAACGGCCTTCCTTTCTTGAGCTCAAACTGGCCAACAACACACAACAGGCAGCAA